TCACCCTAAATGTGTTTACAAACATTCACATAACACATAATAATAAATATAGGCTCATTACCAGCAGATATTAGCATTGCAGCAAAATTACATAAGGTGATGAATATATGTAACAATTATAAACTTCATAATTAAATTATTCAAAACTTGCACGTAATTAACAGTGACCGCACTACACAACTATTTAAATTTTTATGCGCTACTTGTGTGTACAACAAATTATTGTAAATACATAAGTAAACAAAAACGAAGTAAGGAGTTTGTTCACAAAACTTTAAAACATAATATGATAAACATTTTGCAATTTAAACAAACTCAACTTCACAAAAAAATTATTAACACGATTTAAATAGAAATAAAAACACGTTAAAACTAACGCTCGCTTTATAACAATTCACAAAAACGCCAACAAAAGTAGGAAGTTATGGCAGTTGTAATGGTAATACACAATAAAAGTTTTTTTTTTTGGTAGATGAATCAAATTTTTCATGTGAAGGGATGCATAATTCTAGTTTAAGATGCAAAATCCATTCTCGATACTAATAGGAAGTAATTAATTCTCATTTCATTAAAAGCCTTTCTTGCTATAAAAAAATTTCCAGATTATTTAAACTTCGCTAGATTCTTTTAAATGGTTTGCAAAAGCCAGTCGGTCAAGGCGTATTAAATTTTTATCTGTATTTTACGGATTAAACGTTACGTCTAAAAAATAAATTAGTTCAAATATATATGTAGTTAAAAAAAATAATTCTATAATTGTTTCGCTAATTACCTGAAAGTTGCTGTCAATTTCCAAGGGGAACCTTTTTAATTTTTTATTTATATTTTATTCGATCGTCAACGGTTATTTTTGGTCTCAATTGTTAAATTTACTAAATAAATAAGGATTTTTTTTTTTATATTCTTCATTGCTACTTCCTCTTTCCGTTAATTTCGTTTTATAAATATTCCATTTATATATCTTGGCTATTGCTGTTTTTTGTTTCAAACAAAGTTATTTTGATTCTTCTACATTTTCTGTGCTATAAGACAAATCGCTACCTCCCTCACAAAAAACATAATCATTTCGCGTATAAAAATAAAATTGAGTAAGAAAATAAATAAAGTTGGGAAGAAGACAAGATCTAAAGATGAAATTTCACTTTTTACCTCTATACTCTGGAATGACCGTAATAAGCTTCTAAATCCACCAAGCTTTATTATTGATTACTTTTTCAGCCATTGCGTTAAGTATTTCTGAAGCTTAAATAATTTAATGGTGTTTTATCCTCCTTCTATCACGTTGCGTTTTGCGTTTTGGGGGGTTTTTTTTTTTTTAATAAATACAACATATATATGATATTAAATTCATGGTTTGCTCCATTTCTTATGATTCCTGATCTAAGTTTTTTTGGCTCGATACTCTCTGGTTTGTCGGATATACTCGTCCTTATCTGCACAATAGAAAACAAAAAAAAACGCGAGATTTGTTCGAATGATAAATGAATGATACCTGAATCCAGATGTAATACGGTATTTTTCTGATAAAACTCGTAATATTGACTTTCTCTTCTCACATGTTTACTTTCTCCGCTTTTTTCGTGTATGTGTTCTAGTAGTTTCCTGCGACTTAAAATCATACTTTCGTTTCTCCCAACCCATCCCGAAAATAAAAAATAAATAAATTGGATCTTAGATCTTACGTCACCATTTATCTCGTTTTCTCGGGTTGCCATCTTCAACTGAGGACTTGAGTGTTAAAATTGGTGGCCGGACATCTCTACTAAGGTAGACTCTGAAGCGAAAATGACTGTTTCTTATACATCCCATTTCCCCAACCCAATAATAATTTTTACAACTCAAAGTAGTAAAGTTTTATGTCATTATTTATAGAATAATATCTGTTAATATTTACGACGATACCTCTCTTCATACTTAATTAACCTTTATTTTACTACTCCAACAAATTCGATTATGCCGTTATTGTCTCCTATACTTGATTCTTCATAATGAGAACAAGTGTTCGCGGCCTGGTACTTTTGCTAAGCCCGTTCTTCCTGGCTCGAGTACTATCAAGGTGCTTCAATATCTGTGAAAATACGGGTTATTCGGTTGCCGAGCATTACGGCTGCTCACGTTGGCAAATTATTTTTTATAATATTACTTTACATACGCAAAAATATATCATGTTTTTTTATCAAAAAAACAATATGAAAATTTTATCTTATTAGAAATTTTTTCTAATAGATCATGCACTTAATTGTCAAGTACCTGCATACTTTTTATATCATTTTTGCATGTGCTCTACGCCCTCGACTGTGGTGACGATCTTTTTTTGTAACAGCGGCACCATCAAAGCAGAATACGTACGACGGCCCAAAGTTGACTTTACCCATTTATATTATTTCTAGGAAATCTAACTTCGCCTGGATTTTCCAAAACCTGAGAAAATACTTTTATCTGGGATTTTTTGTTACATAAAAAAAGCTCACCGCCTTAATTATTATCCGGATCTCATTGTTGCCATGGCAAACGTGATGGCTCTCGCGAACGATCGTTGTAATTTGGTGAAGCAAGTGAGGGTGCGAAGAGTGATTGGTGTAGTTCATGCGGGCTGGTTACTCAGTTGGCCTTCTAAAAAACACATAATTTTCCTCCCCCCCCCCCGATTTTGTTTTCTTTTCCCCTTACAATCAATCAATAGGCGCAAATTAAAACCTCACCCGATTATCTTAGTGTTTTCATTTTGTGTAGGTATTACCGATAGAGATGATCAGCAAGTGCCCGGAATTTTTTCAAGACCGATGTATCTTTTCATATGCAATAACAATTTGAGGATGAGTGCCATTTACTGAAAAGGATTTATGGAATTAATAGTTAATGAATATCAAGCATGCATCAATAAATTATTTGTTCAACTTCATTGTATGTTTGTTTTTTTTTTAATTAAAAAATTTATTCATGAATGAAAAATACTTTACGTCCTTTTGTATATTATGCTTTTCCAATTATTGGATATATAAATATAAAAAGAGAACAATACGTCTGGTATCTATTTTACAATAGTCTTCTAAGATGTTAAAATGAAAACAATTACTTGGACATCCAATTTTCATTACAATAATGAAATGATCTATCATTAAGTATTAAGTTCTTATACATTATTGCTATATGCATCAGACTTCCAAATTCAATCATTAATATAAAAATCTAAATTTAATACTATTTAAAAAAAATTTATCTAAAAGAGATCTGAAAAATTTTATTTACAATAAATTAATAATTGAATTAATTACAAAAAAAAAATTTAGAAAGGTGTTTGTTTCGATACTATTTACAAACCAAACGGACGATTGGCTTGTCGCCCCATTGGCGTGGAGTCTCGGTTCTCATAGTTCCTCATGGGTCACCAGAATCTGCGACTCCCTCCGCCCATTCCAATGCCATCTCAAACGGTAAGACTGCAATTAAAAAACACCAGATATACACTAAAGATAGTGATGTAGATTTCCATTGCTGATAACCAATTATCATCGATTAAATATCAATAGCACAGGAGATGTTCCATTTTTCCCATAAAACGTTGATGACACAATGTTGTTCCAGGAACGTCGTTTTCCATCCAAGTTGAATTCATTTGATGATTGAATGATATATTATCAAGAATTGTATAGTCTTACGATATAATTTTTATCATCAATCATTAATTAGAGAATAAATTCTCGTGATTCATTTTTTTTTTCAAGCCACGTTTCACGGTCGCTTCATCGTACAACAGGAGTTTTGATGACGCTAAGCTCTGCCATAAATGCATCCAAGCTACTTAATTCAGGGTAGAACATAGCAGCTTTTTTATTGGCAGGCTGATACTCTTCTAAAGTCATATTATAATAATTATGATCTTCGTTTTCACTGGTATAATTAGTATCAGCTCGGTGCTCCGCAAGTTTCCTTTTTTTATTTTCTTGAAGTTTAGCAATCTTCGCCATATGTTTCACTTTTAGCTCCTCCTCAGCTTGAATGAGCGCATGACCAAGTGTTGCTTCAATACGGATGTTGCGCTGACGTTTGCGTAGCATCTTCATTTTCTTTGATCGAACTTTTCTAATCCAATCAAACAGTTGATCAATATTGCGCTGGACTGCATTATTATTGTTATTATTTATATTTTGATTCAACGACATTAACATTTTATCAGTTTTTGTTTAAAAAGTTATTTTTTAATTTTACAATTTTTTCAATTTATTAAGAGTTTTCAATTAATTACTAACGGTATTAATATCAAACAATCAATAATAGTTTTTTAACGATAAATATAATAAGAGAAAACAAAATGCACTTTGTCTTCAAAATGGCCGCTTACTCAATGAAAATAACTTTTATCACTTATGTTTCTTCAAGGTTAGTACAATAATGACTCAACGTACTTAATGATATAAAAAAACTCAAACAAAATTCACTAAATTTCTATGTTAAAATAGAATATTTAACCAACCTGTAGCCAGCTCGTTTTCCTCGATGTGAAGGACACGCTTGGTTCCTCCTTATATCGATGAAACGGTTATTTAAATTAATAAATAACCACCGAGCGAGATACAGTCTTCACTGTTTGAATAACAACGTTGGAATGACGTCTTTTGGGTTGGAGTGGGATTAATATACCCTGACCTGGCGATGCAGACGCTTGTATCCCTACGCTCGATCAATAGAAAGTAGTTCCATTAGTAATTTTAACAACGCTCTTAATTTCAATAATTACTCGTCCAAAATTGTGTGAATTTATTCTGAATGACATGGAAATAACATATTGTGAAGCCAATATTGTAAAATGATAAAATTATTGATTATAATGGAAAATTTTTGTAGGTATTTGTAAAAAGTATGAGTTGTAATAAGGTTTACCCTCTCCTCATATAATGCGTCTTTTGTTGAAGGAATCATACCTCTCATACCAAACCACCTCCCTGCAGCTGTTCTCGACGTTGCCAGATTTTTCTACAGTGGCAACGACATTTTACGTTTTACTTACGTTTTATTCTAATAATAAAAATGATGAAATTTTCATAACTATTTTTATATTTTCTTATAAAGGTTTATAATTTATGAAATTTTTTTTTTATGTACGCTAAAAAAGAATTCGTTTTAATTTTTTTTTACATGTACAAAGTAATCAGATATATATCATTTAAGCATATTGATTGAATTTTATTATCATTATTAACATTTCTCATAAAAGTCTATTAATCATCGTATTAATGAAATTCTATTAAAGTATTAACAGTTTATGATTACAAATTAGTGACCTGATTTTAGAATAATTGAACAAAAAAATATATATAGTAATATTCGCCCTTTTTATGAAAAAAAAAAAAAAAAAAAAGGATATGAATAAAAATTCGATGACGTAGAGCAGGAACGTAACAAAAATACCAGCCAGAAGATTGACAACATATGTTATGACTCATCGTTTTCTTTTCGAATTTGTTCAATGCGTATGACATTGATAATTATAAAAATTTTATTTTTAATACGTCGGAACGATATAACTTTGAATATTCGTCTAAATTTTGTATTATATTGATTTCATAAAGTACTAATTTTATTATTATACGTATGTAAATATATATTAGGGCGTGTCATTTAGATACAAATTGTTTGTTTCATAGTTCTCGGCCTAATTTTATAAAAAATTTCATGTTGTTTAACTTTTTAATTAACTATAATTTCATAAGACCTTTCTAAATAAATTTTTTCTTTTCTAATTTGATTATTATAAAAAAAATTTTATTAGATATGTATAGGTATAAACGGCCTTGTGCTGATCTTGAGTAATAATATAAAAATGGCTTTTGTAATTACGGCAAAGATCAACACGTATTTTTATCTGATACTGAAAATAGCGGACACGTCAGAAAACTTTGTTTTTTATAAATTGAATTTTGATAGGTTTCTAAACGACATAAGAAAATTTTGTTACATAAGTCTTTATTTATGCTACTGAAAATTGTTTATTTCGTATGAATATAAATATATATGTAAACGTTATTAATAAGAGAGTACTGTTTTTTTTTTTTATTATTGTTACCACTACAAAGGCTACATAGCCTACTTATCTATTAAGCCTTTTTCGATGAAACTACGTAGATTAGAGGTCTACCACACCCATCTAAATTTTGCACCTGACATCAATTTGAAAATTTCATATTTTTATGATATAAAAGAGGAGTACTCTTTTCTTTTCATATAATTACTCCTTACAGTTAATTATCAAAACAAAATTAGATTTTGTTTTTTTTTTTTTATTTTTTAAAATTTACTTTACAAAGTATCAGCCAGTTTATAAACTTGTTAGTATACATACCATACAGTTTTTTTATTGTTATCCTCGGTGCCAAACAAGATATTGATGGCATCTCCAACGTATACTAATTTAGACACAAAATGTTAAATGTTTACTTTCTATTATATTTTTGTCGACTTCGTTGCAGAGCCAACGTATTGACTTTCTTCCTTCACTTTGAAATTAAAGGAATAGTAGAATTATATTTTTAAAAAATTATTTATCAAATATTACCATAATTTATTAAAAAATACATTTTTATTTAGCAAATTCAAATAAATTTTTACAAATGAAAAAAATATTGAATAAAAAAATAATACATGCATACATATATACATACAGACGTGTACTTTACTTATTCATAAATATTTATATGAAACTGTATTTATGACACATATTTTATTATTAATTATAAATTCACAATAATTGTTATCATTAGAATGGTAATGGCAATAATTCATCATATTAAGCAAAAATCAATAAAGTGGACATTTTATCTTATTTATAACAATTGTTTTGCATCATTTTTATAAAAACTACATTAATACGTTTGGTATCAAGATTATAAATGTTAATGATAAAAAAAATATTTTTAACGAATAATATTTTTTTATAATAGAAGATTTCTCTAAAAATAAATAAAAACATTTGTTCCCTATAAAATTTGTTCATTAATGTGGATAAAAATCACGAATCCATAAAGACTCAACAGTAGTGATCAAATTAAAATTAATTATTCCTAAATAAGCATAATAAAAAGATAATCTGAGTAATGCAAATTGTTCGGCAATTAATGTACCCCATCGATTCCATTTTCCATTACTGTGTTTCAATTTTTCGTCGTAAACTGAGTGAACACAGCACTTGGACATTTCTATAAAAGCAGACATTCTTGATGAAGTTTTTAGTGTATGTTCAATACTACGTATTAAATCATTTGTTTTAAGTACAAGTAACATCTGTCGATTAACTCTTTCTAATATTTCACTTATTTGTGGCAATAAATTAGGTATTTCAGTTTGAAATTGTACTTTTTCATCAGAACTGTATTTAGTTCTTTCAATACCAGTCATAACAGCATCCCAAGTTCTGCCAGATACCATACACGCCAATAAACCATACATATCCTCAACACCAAGTTGACCGCAGTATTTTCTCATAGCATCTTTATCACGATCAAGTATTGCAAGCCATAATTTTGAATATGACCATCTAAATTCATCAGTCAATTCTGCATATAAACCATGATCAAGTAAAATTAGTTCAGCTTCATTATTTACATTTTTTTTAACAAGAATATTACCAGGATGTGGATCTGAATGAACAAAACCCGTTACAAATATCATATGACTGTACAAACGACCTAATTTACCACTTATTTCATATGGATTAATATTATTGTCATGTATATACTTTAAATCATTAATTTGTCCTCCTTTGACAAATTCCATAGTTAATACACGAGATGATGATAAATCCCAATAAACTTTAGGTACTTTTAACCATTTATAATGTGAAAATAAATTACTTAATCTTTCAGCGTTTTTACCTTCCCATGTAAAATTTAATTCACGTGGTATATTTTTTTTAGTCTCGTCAACAAGCCAATCAAATTTAAATTCTGGAAATACCCACGATGTTATTTTAACTAATGCTGCCATTGTTTTTATATCAACGTAAGAATTTGATTTAACAGCACGATGTTGCACTTTAACGGCAACAACTTTACCATTTTTTAACGTTGCTTTGTGTACTTGAGCTAAACTAGCAGCACCAAGTGGTTCTTTTTCAATAGATTCAAATATTTCATATGGATCTTTTTTAAAATCTTCTTTAAGTACTTTTAAAACATCTTCGAAGGAAGATTGAGGTGCTGAACTATGTAAAACTCGCATTTTAGTAACATATTCTGATGGTAATAAATAATCTAAAGCTCCTATGTGTTGGCCTATTTTTATATAAACCCCTTTATTAGCACAGCACAGTTCCAGGAGTTTTTCTGCTCCAAATGAATGAGATTCTGACTTAGCTTTTGCGTATTCTGGTGATGATTTTTCTAATCCACTATCGTAAAGTGATTTTTTGTAATGAGATCCTATTATAAATACTTTAACAGCAGCTCTGCTTAGACGTACAATACCTATGGATCCAATGTCATAGTCATTTGCTCTCCAGGATACAAGAGTTCCTACACCTACTGCTCCTACTGTTGTGTATTTTATAAGCCTTCTCGATAACATTTTTCAATTTATTTATCATTAATAATTAAGACAAATAATTTATTCTGCACTAGTAGCTGCTTACTAACTGATAAAAATCTGAAAATAAAAATAATTTATATGAAATAAAATATTTAATTTTAATAATATAATATTTCAAATAATTATTTATGTTTTTAATTTAAACTATTTAATTATATATTATATAAAATATTGTTTGAACTTACTCAATATGATGTAAATTGTTATTGAACTACATAAATAACCTAAAAATGTTTATCAAATGTCCACGATTACTTTTATATTCAATATAATTAATAATTTTATTACTGATAAATATATAAAAAGACACGTAAATAGTAATTTTATGATTTAAAATAATAAGAGGATATTAAATAATTTTATTTAATACTCTGATATATGAAATAAGTCAATGTTATTTTTCTTATTTAGTTATCACGCTGAGAACAGCTGAAAGCTACTGACACTAATGATTTTCTTACCGATTGGAATTTAGAATATGGCTTATTATTATTACGTGATACTTTTCACTATTTGGATCATCTTTAAATTTTTTATTAACATTATCTTTTATTAAAATATATATGAATTATGATGCAAAATAATATAGTTTTTATAATAACATTATATAAATTTATTAATTAAATACACAAAATATATAATACTATTTTTATGTTGTAAATTAAATTTCTTTGTAAAACTTTGCATTTTCATTTATTAGCAAAAAGTTGATATAAATAATTAAATCATTACATCTCTCTTATTGAATTATTCGTGAGTCTGATGCATGATTCATTAGTATTTTCTGTAAACAAATTAATTTATTTGTATTAAGTATTTAATAAAATGAGTTTGGATTAATTTATATTCAAGTAGCGAATTATTCCAATTTTTTGTTTTTTATAAATATTTACCTTTACTGGACCAATGGCGTTAATTAATTGTAATCCTAAACTTCTAGCAAGGATTATTGGTGGAGCAGTTCCTTTATACAATCTGTGTAAAGCATCAATAGCTAACATAGTTGGAACATTATGTCTTTGTCTTAATGTTTCGTATTTGGACAAGTACTGAATATCTCCTAGAATACTTCCATCTCTCAAAGTTTCTTCAAGTAATTTAACTAATAAACAAACATCACCGAATCCAAGATTGACACCTTGGCCAGCTAATGGATGAACACGGTGAGCTGCATCACTGTATAAAATTAAAAAAAAAAAATCATAAATTACTCTACTTATTGAATCAATTACCCAAATCTATAAAATACATTACCCAATAAGAGCAACCCTATTCGCAACATAAGAGGTAGAGTGTCCAAATCCCAAAGGAAAAGCAGCTCGAGATCCTTCAACAATTTTCGCTACAGAAGGCTGTAGTTGTCTAGATACTCCAGTTTGAAGGGAAAATTGTTCAAGTAATTGTTGCAATGCCTTCATACCACTTTCAACAAGATTGTTCTTTGGATATACTCTCCACAGCGCCCTATTTAATTCGTCAACAAATTCCTCTTCAGGTACTTTTAACAGACGTTTAGCTTCTTTTGTTGTTATAGACCAAACGAGAGAGCTCAAAGTGCTTGTAAGCTAATTTGATAAACAGTGTATTTTAATAAGTACTAAACAAATTAATTTAATTTGAAATTCAAAATTTTTTGAAATACTTACAGGTAATAATGCTACTGGGCCTGTTGGTAAAAATCTTTGCCAAGCTACAATATTTTCTGTTGGCTAAAAAAAAAAAAAAGCTATCATATAATAATAATAATTTGAAATAAAATTTATCAAAAGTAAAGTTAAATTTAAACTGAAAAATAGTTACCTCTGACAATTCAACAGTTGCAACGATTCCCATTTGATCATAATCCCACTTGACATATTGTACATTCATTGCTTGGCGTACACGAGAATTCACTCCATCCGCCCCAATCTAAAATAAAATGAAAAAAAATATATATTTAATTTATTTATTTATTGACCATGAATTTATAATTTGGATGTTTTACGTTAGCATTGCCAACAGCTCTTGAATTACATATGTAAAAGCACAGAGAGGAGGAGAAAATAAAAATCAGTTACGGAATACCAAAAATAACTTTGACAAACTAAGAAATATGATGTAAAAACTCAAAGTTTGAAAGAAGTGATGAGTGGTTGTATCAAGAACCATTCAGTACTATGAAATATTTATTGATGATCGGAAATGATCATTTAACTAAAAGTATCAAATAGTATAGTTATTTTGTAGTTATTAAAAAAAAGTACTAGAAGTTATTACTCATTACTCATTAGTTTATTACTTAGTATGACTTAATAATTAAAAAATATTTAGAAAAATAAACACGACATGAAAGCTTAGAATTAAATCGTGATTCAAAGGAAAAATCAAACATAATCACAGCAACTTCCTGTGAGGACATCGTTATCAATAAAGTAGTTGTTATTCTCTATAAGCATGCGGTTGGCCCACTTTCCTGTTACAAAGTGCAAAGTATGGTTTCTCAGTACTAAAAAATAAAAAAAAAAAAAAAAGTCAAAATAAATAATAAGAAATAATTGTGGTAGTCGCAAAATCCCCTCAGTAAATACTGGAATTCAGAGATCGACGTAGTCTAATTATAAGCCAACTCTGTTTTATAAACATTTGGGTACACGTGAAAGAAGACGCAGGATTCATCAGACGTTTACAATTTCTCGGAGTATTCATATCGCAAGTAAATTAAACTTTGTATGAATATTACAGAAAAGAATTCACGATTTATATTTAAAATGAATACCATCGTCGAATATCCGGAAAGTATTTATTGTTGTGATTCATTACTTCAATATTAAATTTAAAAATGAAATAAAAAAATTTAAGCATAGAAAAAAATGTAAATAACTTGTTGATGTTTCTGATTCAATTGAACGGACTTTAAAAAATTCAATGAATTTATATTTGTGATTAAATCAGATTATAAGCAAATACTTAATGCTGGTGACTTTGAGTAATTGCTGGTGTATGTGCATGTGTATGTGATTTAATACTTAAAAAATTCTTAGCGATGTTTCCACGTCATACAAAGCCTCTGGGTAAATTGTTAAATCGGAATGGTGAGGATATCATCTATCAAGACAACATTCACATGTCGACACTCACAGTAGGATACCAGGTAGTCTTACGCGTACATTGTTTACAAATCTAATAATATTATGTTTATTTCTAATGTATTTTTTAACGATTTTGTTTAAATTTGTTAGAACGAACGTAGTGATCTATGGATGGATGATATGGAACGGGGTAGTATATCGTCCGAAAGCTCATCAACAGAATTTGCGTGTACAAAAACTTCATTGGCAAAAAAACAACAACCTTGGGATACGGCAGAAGTAACAAAAGCTCTTTCAAGTCTTCCTGCGGGTGAAACTGCATTAACACTTATTTCTACTCTTCACGGTGATATTTTGGAGAAAACTCTTGAAGTTTTAAAATGTATAAGCTCAGATAAAACTAAAGATCAAACTTTAGTCATTTCAAATTTCGCCAATGGGTACGTTATACAATTAATATCATATCATAAAACAACAGCTTTTAAAGTGATAATAAGGTCAATATAAAAAATTATAGTGGTGTCAGAAAATCTTCTCACAATGCGCAAAATGAAGCGGCTGCATCGTCAACTTCTGAATCAGTTCTTGCTAAATGGCCAGAGACTTGTCTTCTTGTTGCCTGTTGGTTAGGACAAATTGAAATAGTCAAGGCGCTTCTTCAAAGAGGCACTAATATCTCTATCCGAGATGGGCATGGAAGGTTATTATTATGAAGTTTATCAACATTTCATTATTTATGTAAACAATTTTATAAGCCATAAAATAAATCACCTGTTTTATCTTTAGGACTCCGTTACATCTGGCAGCGTGTGCGGGGCATGTAAAAATAATAGAAATACTACTAAAACATGGCGCTAACCCAAATGATTGGGATTTTAATAAAGAATATACAGCGTTACATTGTGCTGCGGCGATTGGTAATCTTTCATCAGTTAAATGTTTAATAAAATCTGGAGGTAATGTTGATGCCGGTCTTCCCGGACGTACACCATTACATTATGCAGTAATGAGTAATGCTGCTGACTGTGTAGAAGCTCTTTTAAAAGCTGGTGCTTCTCCGAATAATCCTCAAGTATACACTGAAACTCCGTTACATGCTGCTGCTAGTCTAGGCGCTGCTTGCAGTGTAAGTTTACTTTTGCATTATGGAGCTGACGTACGAGTTCAATCAGGTGCAGCACGATCTACACCACTTCATTTAGCAGCAGAAGAAGGAAGCAGTGAATGTGTAAAACTTTTAGTCAAAGCTGGAGCTCCAATCAATGCTAAAAATTCACGAGGACAAACTCCATTACATCTTGCAGCTTTAGCCCAATCTGCGGATACTATGGAAAGTTTAATTGCTGATGGAGCTGATGTTAATGCAGAAGACGATGATGGTAGGACACCTCTTCATACTGCCGTAGCTAAGAGTGTCAGAGGAAGTGAATTAGTTCGAATATTATTACAGGTGAGAATTTTCTTGATATATATATATATATATACTTTGTTCTTATATTAATGATTTTTGTTTATAATCAACAGGGTGGATCTTATGTAAATAAGCCAGATAAATTTGGATACACTCCTCTTCACATTGCGGCACTTAATGAAAGTTCTTTCATCGTAACTTTATTGCTGACAAAAGGAGCTGACGTGACTGCCAGAACGAAAGGTGGAATTTCTGCACTCAGTTTCATCATTAGACGTACACCAGATGTACTTCCAAGATTTGTTTCACGTATGGATCAAGCGATATCTCTGCATGATCATGAATTAGGTGATGTCGACTGTGAACTGCGCTTGGATTTTCGTTTTTTGGTACCAGGTGGACGAAGTGAAACTGATTTAATGCTATGTCTTGTTGAAGGTGGTCAAAGACATATTCTAAAACATCCTCTCTGTGAAAGTTTTCTTTATCTAAAATGGTTAAAAGTCCGTAAATTTTTTCTATTTAGTTTGATATTTCATTCAATATTTGTTGCAATATTTACAGCATACATTGTAGCAGCATTTTTATACGAGGCGGATACTGTTGTAGAAATATTTTTTATGCCTATTATTGTTTTTACAGTTATTTTGACAACTAAAGAGATTTTTCAATTATCTCATGGTATTTGTTCGTATATAAAAAGATGGGAAAACTGGTTACAGTGGGGAGTGATAGTATCTTCCGCTGCAATTATAATAAACCCAATTGGTCTGTGGCAATACCATGTAGCTGCTCTAGGCATTTTTTTAGTCTGGGTTGAGCTTATGATAGTCGTTGGAAGATTTCCCATGTTTGGTTTATACGTTCAGATGTTTACTCAAGTAGCAATTAACTTTTTTAAATTTCTTGGTGCATATTTATGCTTAATTATTGGGTTTGGGCTTGGATTTAGCGTTCTCCATAAAAATTACAAGTCTTTTAAAAGTCCACTCATCAGTCTATTGAAGACAATAATTATGATGTCAGGAGAATTGGAATTTGAAGATGTTTTCTTTGATGAAGATGCACCAATACAATACCCAGGAACATCTCATCTTATGCTTTTGGCTTTTGTTGTACTCGTCACTATTATTCTAACTAATTTAATGGTAGGACTTGCGGTATCAGACATCCAAGAACTTCGTCGTTGTGCTGGGCTTGATCGACTTGTACGCCGTGCTGAACTAGTAGCACATCTAGAAAGTTTGCTCTTTTCCAAATTTCTTGACCATTGTCCTCAAAGAATTGTTAGACCATGTAGAAAAGGAGCTTTACTTCTTCATCCACCTCATCATTGCGCAATACACATTAGACCAAATGATCCTCGTGAAAAACGACTACCTAAGGATTTAATAAAATCTATCTATCGATTAGTTTCCGAAAGAAAAATTCGCATACGTAATAATATCAACAGCCCTTCATCAAAAAGTAATAACTTTGATCTTGATGATAGTCGAACCAGTAGATTGTATAGTTTTAGTTCAGTTAATGATACCAGTAGGCAATTGTTAGAATTATTTTCTGAGTTCAAAAGGTGCTCAAAAAATATTAGTATGCGTTTAGATGCTTTATCAACTAAAATTGATACTATTGCTCGAGAATTTGATCATGATCAATTGTAGTACGCTTATAAAAATTTAATTTTTTTTTTTGTAAAATGAAAAAATAAATATTTTTAATTTTTTTTTAGTAGTAAAAAAATTATTTACCAGTAATTTCGATGTAAATTCTTCACCATTCTCTAATTTTATTTTAACATCATTGTCGATTGTTTTTGGCAAAGTAATACCTTCAACTTTGGCATTATAAATAACGTGAACAGATGGCTTTTCTTCTAGTTGTTTATTGACTGCATGTAATAATAAATCATTTTCGACAATATACGCTATATCCTCAGACAATTGATCTTCATTAAACGTTATCATGGCATCTGAACAGGCATCCCATACCTAATACATAATTCATTTTTATATTAATTAAAAATTATAATAAGAGTAAGTACACTTTTGCCAAAGCTGTGAGCAGCTTTGGCAAAAGTGAAACTTATTTTAGCCACAGTCTTTCATGATTTGCCCACCAAAAAAAAAATTCTGTTTTCAATTATATACCTAAAAATTTTCAATTTATAATTATATGGAAAAATATTAAAATTCTATCATATTCATATTAGTGAAAAATAATCATATTTTTTGCCAACTTATTGTTCTAAAAAGATGACATTAAAGTTAGCAGTCGCGTGATCATTTTTTAATTTTTTTTAATAAATAAATTTGCTCCGAAAAATTATTTCAAAAAATTGCATTTTTTATTTTTTTTTTATTTTTTAAATGCCAATTTTATTTCCTCATTTTCTTTGACATAATTTATTTCTTGAAAAAATTCTTAAAATTATAAAATATCTGCTAAATTAATTTTCATTCTAAAAAGATAAGAATAATTAAAAATTTTTTAACATACTTAATTATTCTGAAATAATGTCAATAGTCGAGTTAAAACAATAGTGTTCATTTTTGACAGTGACCTCAAACTCGTAGTGATTTAAGTTGCATTGTTTGATGCAATACTGATTGACATATAAATAAGTAAATAAATACGTATTCTATTTGAGACAGATTTTCTTTAGCAAACACATTGTGGCAGACTTGGGCTTCCGTTATGTAGACTTACTTTTAATATAAACACTTATGACAGAATTGTAAATATGCCGTATGATTATATGCCTGATTACCTGCATTTTTCGAACTGGAGAATAACGAACAGCTTCTATGTGTTTCCATGCTCCTATACTTGATAGTAATGTACGTGTTTGTTGATTCAATGCGACAACTCGATTAGAATATTTTTCGGTTTGTTTAAATTCATATTTATTTCCACTTTCCAGTAATAAAATCTTTTGAGATTCTAACGTTCTATTATTAGCTGCAACAAAAGTAATTAATTATTGTATTTATTATTACTGAAGAATTGTTATGATTATTTCTGCGTAATATTCTAACCTAAAGCAACAGCCAAAGTTGTTCCAACCATTCCACCTCCGGCAATAATAATGTCATGATGTTTATCATTATCTCCAGTAGCACAATGATGTTTCCTTGCAATTACCACTTGATTTGATAAACAAACACTATATTTACTGTATAAAGATGTTAAAATACTTCGAGTACACGGCATAGTTTCACTTACAAACGCCATTTTGTTTGGCGCGCTTATCAGAAATTTAAAACAAAATTCAAACGAGTAATGGAGAGCTAATGAGATCAACAAAAGATTACTGTATGAAACAATTTATTGATTTATTAAATAATGCTACCAGGCTGTACTTATCATCCTTAGAGATTAAACTTCACTACCATTGTACTAATAAACAAATTTCTTTACGTAAAGATTCCAGTAGTGTAATCAATATGAGCAACCCTTATGAAAATTTTCTTTTATTCAGCTCAATAAATGTTAGATAGAAAAGTATTTTTAGATGAATGACAAATATTGAAATTTTTTCATTGAAGTAATAGTAAAATTTTAATCTGTAATTTAGTTTTTTAATTAAAACAAAATAAAATATATATTTTACTTATTGTGATGAGCGAACAGACGACCCTGAAATTTCTTACTACCACTACTACTTTTTTACCTTTAATTTAAGGTCACCATGGTGATGCGTTCCCCTGCGTTGGCTGATCGATTTTCAGGTGAATTACCTCAAGAATCCACGTATTTGTAAAGCAGTCATAAATAAAATGTAGTGAAAAGAGCAACTAAATATAATGAGTAAGTGGAAAAGAAAAACAAATACTTAAATTGTAGGAAGAAATGTCTGAACATAGAGGTTCATCTTTCGTTAATTCTTGTATTAAAGTGCCTATAGATCCTTATAGTCGTCAACCAACACCCTCTTATGAACGTCCGAGAATCCAACGAGTAGAAAAAAGTAGAAATAGTGTAAAATCACGTAGAATTAATTTCGTATCGTCTTCGAGTAATCAGGATTCAAACCGTGAAATAATTAGTTCTGATGACAGCAATGTAGAGAGTTTCTTAGATTTTTTGGAAAGTATACCTGACTATGGTGAAATTAATCATCTCTCTAATGAACAATTCAAACAGAAGTTGGATTATTTGAAAAGAAAACAGAGATTGTTGTTGAAAAATTTGAAGAATTGTTTAGATCAGGATGATAGTGATGAAAAAAGTCTCGGTGTTCTTGATAAATCTTCAACTTTACCTCCGTCGACACCAAGTATTCCCGACAAGTCTAAGAGGTGGGATGAAAATAATGTTGATTTGAGATTGCTTGGGAAGAAATGTAGTCTTGAGGATTCTCGGACTGGGAGTCCCTTGTTATTTTCATCCGGGACTTTTGCTGGACTGGCTGAAGACCAAGATTTGTTAACTTTTAGGTAAGTAAATACAATTTTTTGAATAAATAGAGCTGTATAAATTTTTACATATGTATCAATAAAATTTTTAGATGTAAAGACAAGGATAAAGAAATGAAAACTTTAAAAAATCGAGAAATACATTCTGCTAGTAAAAGCTGGAGTACTTGGAGTGAATCTAAAAGTACTGAAAGTGCTAATAGTGATTCGGAAAATAGTGTTGAAACTCGAAGTTTACCGCCTAGTAGTCCTAAGAGATGGCAACCAACTGTTCCAAAACCATTTTCATTTGCATTAAGGTAAATATTTGTTAAGGGTATTTATATTTTATAATACAAATTTCATTATTGATTTTAAATCCCAGAGATGAAGCAGAAAAGTACATGTCTCGCGCTGAAAAAGAAGCTACAGAAAAATTTAATGAAAATAATAAAGGAGGCCCGATCAAAAAGAGAAGAGTCAGACCGATTCCTTTGACATCAAGGATTCCTTTGTACGATAAATTGATGGAAGCTAAAGAAGAAAGGTGTGATACACGTTAATTTACTTACTTTTAGTCAGTTTTTCAAGTTGATAATAAATTTTCTTTTTTTTTCTCTTCATAGAAGCCGAATGATCCGTGAAGAATCAGCGTGGAGCTTAATGTCCCAAGTAAAACCTTTCAGATTAGAGTGTGATCGTAGAGCTATTAAAACAATGAGTCGCTCGAGTCCAGAACTATGTTCAAGGAATGTAAAATCAATATCAACATCTAGATTTAGAGCAAAGCCTGTGCCAAAAGATCTTTTTGGTACTGACGTGTACGATAGAATGTTAGAAGATGAGTATGTTAGACAGATGCAGAAGAAAATTCGTGCCGTAGAATTATTGAAATCATCGGCATTGCCGCCATCGATGGCCCGGAGAGAACGAATAAAATCAGCGTGCATTCCAAGAGTAAGAAATTGTAGCAATGACGAGTGTCGCCGTAATGAAGAATCATTAAGAGTATGTAGTTCTACTCCAATAACATCTGAAAGATCGCGTTCCGTTTTGACTAATCAGTCCTGCAGAGGTAATAATTTAGCTGCAATTTTACGGTGTCAAGCATCGAGGTAAATTAATTTATTTATTAATTAAATGTGTAAAGAAAACAAAATCGATTATAGCTTAGGAAAATTTCAGAGAAAAGTTGGAACGAGAAATTCAAGAGAGAATGGAAGAAAAAGCACGGGAGTATGCAATTAAAATGCGGGAATCTTGGACTGGCCGAAAACCTGCATGGCGTGCACTGCGACATACAGCTAGGTATATTATTTATAATTTTATTATTTATAAGTGTAAAAAAAAATTGATTTTTTTTTTCTACACTTCAGAAAAGATTTAGCGAGAGATTTAGATTTCCGAATATCATTACGCAGGGATGAAGCAAGAGAACAAGCTGAACGTCATCGTTTTGAAATGGAAATGATGCTCGATCGTGTTACACAAATTCCTACATTGTTCGAACGTCACTCACAGGTATGAATTACTCCAAATCACGTACATTTATTTTATATTACTGATAAGAAACAATATTTGATTATCAATTGAAAGACTCGTTTCTCTAAGAAGGAACACAATATGCAGAATTTCCAGGGAATGCGTCAGCTGCAATCGCGGGCTTACAAACTTGAACGCAAAAAGAAGAAAAAAAAACTCAAACCTCAACATTCTATTGTCAGTCTTGAGTCTGACAATAGTCCCGAATGTCCATCACGTCCTGACTCTGAATCTACACCAACTCGGTTATCTTCTGAGCAATCTTTAAAATCTTCAGGCTCTAGAAAATCTCAGGCATCAACTAGATCAGAAAATTTTATGAGTAATAAAAAAAAAATTGAGCGCGGATCTCTTCGAGTATCGATTAATGAAACTGCTGAACTAATTGAAGATGATGATGGTGACGATAACGAAAAATATTCTATCAGTCCTAGTGATGAACAAGATTCTCACAATTTGTGCAATAAAAATAATCAAAATCTTTAATACATATAGAATGCTTTAACAAATAATCTACAAGTATTATCTTTATAATTAAAAATATATTGTTAAATTTTTTATTACGAAAATTTATACATATCACTTTTACACGTAAATTGTATATAACATTATTTATTACTGTGCGCAAAATAATTTTTTTTTTTTTTTTTTTTTTTTTTTTTTTTATTTCAAAATATTACAAGATTAATGTAATAATATTAAATGAAGAATAATAATAACTAAAATAGTACGAGCAGTCTTATAAAAAACTTACAAACTACAAAATTAAAGAATATTTATAAACATGAAGTATAGTATTTTAATCTTGCATATTATCCAATATCCAGTCCATATAATATGGTAAAAACGTGTAAACTCCGGGAAAACCATCGATACCACAATTGCGTGGCCCAAAACTTACAATACCATATTGAACGTATCGTACATCATTGTAATAACGTCCTGGTGATTGAAGAGGACCGCCACTGTCGCCAGCGCATGAATCCTTACCATTTTTACCACCAGCACACATTTGTTTATACCAAATAACTGATTTACCTTGGTAAGCTTTTGCACATTCATCGTTAGGAACTGGAGATAAATTAACCATAAGAAGTTCCAGACTACGTGTACCAAACTCAGTTGCGCCCCATCCCGTGATCGTCACGGTTTTTTGACCTAACCGTTGAGCTGTTCCAATAGGTAAGCAAATTGGTTTTACATTTATCGGTTCAAAGTCTATATCTGAAGCTAGGCGTATTAATCCTATGTCATCCTGTAGTTTTGATAGAACGTAACCAGGATGAAATTTAGTACTTTCTATTAAAAAATCTTGATATTGATCTGCACAAACTATTTCCAGACCGTCTTCATCCTTATCACAATCACGTTCGGTACTCAAGTCATGGTCTCCAACTCGAACTCCAAGTAGAGTGAGGCCTAGAAAAAAAATTTTCTTAAATATTTTATTAAAAATTGTTTTTTGGATATTTAATAAAAAAATTACTAGACGGTAAATTTGTAACACAATGTGCAGCAGTCAAGATGTAACGTTTATTAATAATTGTTCCTCCACATCTAAATTCTTTTCTACCATCGATATTGTAAGCTATTAATGCCATCCATGGATAGTCGAGAACACCAGTTTTATTCCCTCCAAATATTTTTGGCTCAGTAATGGGACCGCATATAGTGTGATTAAGTAGTCTTACATTTGATTGATTCACCACATCTGGAGGATTAGGTATTGTTGATAGGTCTGGTTCTATTGTTGTAGATAATGGCACAGGTTGTTCACAACATACTTTTGGCCACATTCCCTCGAATCCACATTGTGACAATCGAAGAAGTTCTAATGCTTCATAAGGAATTGGTCGCGGACCTTTGAGAATACTCAATAATGATGGACACTCTGTTACAATAATACACGAACTTATACTTCCAGATGGTGTCATACATTTATCTTCTGTAATAAATTGTCAAAAAAAAAACAAATTATAGTATATTTATTTTTTTATATTTTGAAAATTCTTTTTGTTCAAAATAATTAAACCTTCAGAAAAATAAGTTATTTGTAAATTATAAAAAACTGATTATTAATAAGATAGAATGTCTTTAATTTTTTACTTAACAAGATTATTAAATAAAAAAGATCTTAAACTTTTATTTCTTCTTTGTTTGGAAAAACGATATTATCATGATTATTTTTGAATTAAGTAATTCTGTTAAATAAAAAAATTAATATATACTTACGAGCATAAACAATAACTAAAAAGTAATTTAGTAATATCAATAAAAACTTCATATTTTAATTGAGAAAATACAGTTGAATTTGTGAAAAATTATAATTAATATCATAACAAAATATAACAGACAGTTTTCTTCAGAAGAGTGTCTCTGAGCAGGTCAAGTTCACAAACAATACATTGGAATAAAATAAAAATAAAATAAATTTTTTATTATAAAATTGTTTCTTTTATAATTATCATTTTGTTAAAACAACAACATAAAAAAATCAAAAAATAATAATTACAACAAAAACTTGTTCTTCAGACTGCAACCTAGTATGGCACTAAAAATATTTATACGCACGTATCTATTCGCGTTTCAACACCTTCTATTTGTGAAAATTCTGCAAACCCGTTATAAGTAAGATGATAATATTTTTGCACTAGACGGTCTGCTGCCATCTGCATTTGTCCTTGATAAAAAATAATAATCATGTGTGTTGTTGCATGTATATGCTTTTATACTTTTACATTTATTTAATAAGCTATTATCATTTTGCATTGACTGAAATCAATTTTAATTGAATAACTTAAAAAAGTCATCAAGGCCAGTGTTATTGATCATGTTAACTTGTACATGTCAAAATAAAACTAAATATTTTATTTGTTTATCAATCATCGATAGCAAGACGTTAAAAAATAAGATAAATAAATAAATAACTTTAAAATGAGAGATCTGACGTCATAACATTTCAAGTAACACGTGGGGAAACCTGCATCGAGTGATTTGATGATTCCTATCAAGTATAGGACCGAAAGTATAACATCCTTCTTATTTGATGAAAAAGAAATTTCAAGAAATATTTTATTTATTTAGGATAATATACGATTGTACGAGTAAATATAAATATTAATTGATCTCAAATTGTTATTGACCTAAAGGTTACTTCAGATGACCTACTACTGATATTCATAATAACGATAGTCGTCACTATAATATTAATTAATTCATTAAAAAAATGTATTTAAAAATACAACTTACATTAAAAACAGTATTTTTATTAAGTTAATTTATACTAGATCATCGATAGAAATTATTATAATGGTCAGTTTTTCAATCCGGGATAAAATTGATAATAATAATTAGGTTTTATTTGTATCACTTTTTATTAGATTTAGTGTTTTACAAAGTGGGATAAAATTTTATTCAATGTTAAAATATATCTATATACTCCATGTATATAATATACAAGATACAGATATACTGATAATACTAGTTTTATTCTAGATAAAATTTTATCCTGGATTGCAAAACTGGCTCTCAAACATAATCAAAATATAATAAAAAGAATAATAAAACATTTAACTACTTATAATTTATGAGTTTAGATGCGCATGATGACTTCATGCTGGTTATTTTTATCGTCGTCAAATTAGGTCTTTTAATTATAAAATCTTTAGACTGTTCATATAATAATAAAAAAAAAAGTCAACTTTAAAGTCTCATATTACGTAAAATCCAATCGGTGTAATGGGAAACTTTGGTATAAATTCCTGGCCAACCTTGCATACCACATGGAGAGGGACCGAAAGAAACAATACCAACGGTTGTCCATCTTCCAGTACCATCCATGCCCCTTTCAACAGACATGAGAGGGCCACCGGAATCACCTCTACATGAATCCTTTCCTCGCTGGCCACCAGCACAAATTTGATTTTCTGAAAGAGCTATTGCTGAATTTCCATACCGTGCTAGACATTCCTGGCGATCAGCGATAGGAACTGAGAGTTTTAATTTAAAGTCAGATTCACTTCTGGTTTCCGTCTTTCCCCACCCAGCTACCCACAGACGCTGAGATAGACTTGCATTGTTTGGCAAACAAACAGGTTTAATGTAGTCAGTAAACGTTACGGGTGTAGACAATCTCAGTAAAGCTATATCATTTTGTTGATCTCTGGCTGTTGGTCTATAATCTTCATGAGCTATTTGCTCTTCTACTCCAATACTAACTACCGGTGGGGCGCAAATTTCAGTATTGCCTAAGTCTGGGATACAATCCGGATCTGTTGCTGTATTATATTCACCCAATCTGACTCCAAGAAGACGCCAACTTTTTGGTAAATCTTTTCCTTTTATGCAGTGGGCTGCAGTCAGAACGTATCGATTGCTAATCAATACTCCTCCGCATGCTGTTGTTCTTCCGTTTGCTAATTAGATAAAAAGTAAATTATTTGTTAATTTTTTTAATATATTCAATATAATTGTTAAATTTAATAAAATACTTACGTTTTTGGTATTCCAACAGAGCCATCCATGGAAATTCATCAATGTCTGCACGTTCACCTCCAAAAATCCTCACAGAAAGATCTCGTCCACAGTCCCGCGGTAGTAAACTATTGCGTGAATTAATATTGCCACTATCGTTGGAGACATCGTAAAATTCTGTTGTAGCTGGCGGTTGAATTGGTGATAAGTTATTTAAGACACAACAAACTTTGGGATCTCGGCCTTCGAAACCACATTGAGCTGCTCTAAGGGTTTGGATATTTTCGGGAAATGTTGAAGATAGTCGTAAAAGCTCTATCATAGGTGGACATTGACGAATGTTTATACATCGGCCTTGATTATTGCTCAAGTAACACCTATCCTCTTGCCAGTTTTCTGAAAAAATTTATTTATTAATGTTATTTTAGGAAAGTTATGTTAAATTTTTATTTAACAAATGATTATCATATATAAGTAAAATAATTTTTCTATTGAAAATTACATTTTTTAGAAATTTAAAATATAAATTATGAAAATTAACATTAATATCTCTAATAAAAAATATTTAATAAAATTGCTGGAAGTATTTATTAGACATCATATGTTCATATAAATAAATTACTGATGACTTCATTGAATCTTTTTTTTTTTTATTTTATAAATATTCGTTGTAATATTATTAACTACATAAAATTTTAGTTGGATGAGTATCTTCTTAAGTAATTCTATAATCTTACTTGACCTCAGTTTACGGTCAATTTAAAACTAGTTTTTTGATTATAATAATTATAAATTCTAAAATTCTTATTCAAAATATTATAATTTGAAATTAAAATTTTTTTTTTACAGTTCATAATTTAAAGTAACTAAATATTCAATTCCTGACAAACCAATACAATAAATTATATAAATAAAAAAAAAAATAATATACATAAATTAAAAATGATTTCATAGAAAATGTAACTTACGTGCACTGGATGTATTGATAAACAAAAATATCGTCAAAACAAAAAATGTAAGAAGAAATGATTTTTCAATCATTTTATTTTTTTCTAATGTATAATCTTTATTGAAATTTCTGTTATATTTTTTTGTAAATATTGAATTAATGATTTAAACGAGATGTTCGATGAGACATGCGAAAGTCGACTGTCAGAGTAGTAGTCATTGCCGGAGAAATATAGGAGCTGAAGCCAGGGTCAAACCGGTCTCCCACCATGATTCTTAGAAGTTCTTTAATAATATTAGGATTTCCCATCTATCCAATTTTTAAATTACACACCTTACACTTGACGATGCTTAGAATACACTCTTAGATTAATTTTTCACTTGAATAAGAGATTAATATGATGTCTAATTGTTATAATAATAATATTTTATGTTTTGTTATTCTCATAGCTATTTAAAATTATTTTCTTAAGCATTTATTCGTTTATATTGATATTTTTTTTTAGGATTGAATTAAAATTATTTCAAATGTCTACTGGATGTATAATTAAAATAGTAATATTTATTGAAATGTTAAAATTTTACAAAAGATTGATAATTCACTGGTAATTTAATAAAATTATTGACAAATCTGTTTAAAAAAATCATTTCCAATAATGAGCTCTCGGTTCAGGTCTTAATCTTCTCATTATCCAATTGATGTAATCATCTATTTTGGTGTAAACCCCTGGCCAACCTGGTAAACCACAATTATCAGGACCAAAAGACACAACCCCAACTGCAGTCCATTTTCCAGTTCCATCAGCAGTTCTTTCAACAGACATGAGAGGACCACCGGAATCACCTCTACATGAGTCTTTTCTTAACTGTCCGCCTGCACAAATTTGATTGTTTTTAATAGATATTGAAGATCTTCCATATAGCGCTTGACATTCTTCGTGATCAAAGGGAGAAATAGCAAGTTTTAATTTAACATCAGAGCGAGATCCACTCTCAGTAGCACCCCATCCTGCTACCCATAGTTTTTGGGGAATATTTCCATTGTGTGGTAAACAAATTGGCTTGATGTAGTCTGTAAATTCAACTGGTGAAGATAATCGAATTAAAGCTATGTCGTTTGTTCTATCTCTAGATTGTGATACTGATTTGTAATCCTCGTGTTGTATAATTTCTTCGATATCTATTTTTACTATTGACGGGGCGCAAATTTTACTGTCGTAACCATCGCTAACACAATCGGGATTTGTTCTTCTATCATATTCACCAAATATTACTCTTTCAGGTCGCCAAGCTTTTAGATCTTCAGTATTGACGCAATGGGCTGCAGACAAAACATATCGTTTACTTATTAACATTCCACTGCAGAGTGCCGATTTTCTTCCGTCCGCTAAATAAATAAGAAAACTATATAAGTAACTGATAAGTAAGTTATGACAATTAGTGTGGTACTGTAGAAATACTTACGGTTGTCATATTCTAATAAAGTTATCCACGGGAATTCATCAATACTAGCTCGTTCACCTCCGATAATCCTTACAGAAAGATCACGACCACAATCAGAAGGAAGAAACGGATCACTAGGTTGACGAAAAGACGGAGTGTTTGAATCAGAATTATATGATTCCGTCGTCGATATAACGTTTGATTTTTTAGGTGTCCATAGTTGATTTTTAAGAGCACAACAAACTTTGGGATATCGACCTTCGATACCACACTGTGAGTTACGAAGAGTTCGTATAATTTCAGGAGTCTTGACCTGTATTTGCAAAAGGTCCAAGGCATCTGGACACCCGAGGATATTTATACATTCTCCTATTTGATAATCACTAGTAAAACAGCTATTTCCTGGCAAGTTTTCTGTAATGAAACATTTGAAATTATATTATTTTTAGTGGACATTAGTTTTTCCCTAATACTCATCATAATTTCTGTAATCCTTTATGTATATTTCCGATTGGCGTCAGTATAAATAAATAAATTATTATATTAATGAAATTTCTGAACTATATATGACTTTTAATGACTTAAGAGAAAAAAAGAGAATTTAAAAATATGATAGTGATTGGAGATACTTTTGATTGAATCGTTGAATTATTTTTAGTATAATTCAATGTCAAACTACATTAGCAGTTTATTAACCTTGAAAAAAACCTATATAATTTATATCTTTTAAGCAGATTTCAAACGTAAGATTTCATATCATATCCAGTTCAAGATGGTATAAAATTAATATCTATGTACTGATGGTACTGTTTTGTTTGATTTGTATAACTTTCGTAAAGTTATTAATAATTTTTTTTTTGTACTTAAAATAAAAAAAAAATATAATCTCTATTAGTTTATTTTATTTATCACAAGAAAAAAATTGAACCCGGAAACATCAGACAAAAAATTACTTAGATATAATCCCAGATAGCCAAACATGCTGGCAAGATATGCTGACAATACCGTAGGCATCTGCGGCCGCATTTGCTAGCAAAATGCAGGTATAAGTTTGTTCAGCATAGCCTGCTGCCGTTGTGCCTACATTTCATGCTCGTGCAACGGTGGCGGAATATTACAAGCAAAGTGTAAGCATGATCTGCGTGGCAAAATACGCTGTCATCAAGCAGACATTTCATGCTAGCATACTGCCCGCAAAATAAAGAAACAGATTGGCTAAAATTTATCTTACTATTTAGGTATGTTAATATTCTAAATAATTATTATAATTTAAAATTCAAATTTTGAGTTTTTTTTATTCTAATTTTAATCGGAGCAGGAACATAAAAAAAAATAAATCAAAATTTTTTAATTAAATATTTTTTATTATTTAATAAAAAACTAAACGTACGTACATATTTTCACATTGAATTCCTATTATTATTACAATATTCAAAACATATTTTTATTTTTCTATCACAATAATGCATAATTTGATTAACACGTCAATTAAACTTTTTTTTTATGTTTCATCTATTACAATATCCATTTCCGGATTTCTTATAACTATTACTTTATCTTTTTCTTTATTTGATGTTCGTATCTTCTCCTTGGTTGTTTTTAATCCAGCTGAAATCCATTTTTTAATTTCATCTATTGTTGCTCCTTCGAATTTCCTATTGCGCTTTATTGCGACTGTAAATATTTATACAAAATTTTAATTAAATTTTTGTTACATTACAAAATAAATATAATTAGGTTATTTTAAACATTAATAGTTTTTACTAGTTAAAGTAGTAAAAGAGCAAACATATGTTTCTCAAGTTGTAACTTCTAACAAAGAAAATAGAAATATCTAGACATTCACGTACAATATACAGAACGAAAATTATCATTCCAACGAATCATAGAATGGATTTTTATAAAACGACGAAATTTCGTAAATTAAAGATATCTTCCAAAAAAAAGAGTTACTTTAAATTACATAAATAATGAAAGGAATTTGATTGAACACACTATAATTAAATATATAAAAGATAATACCGAAACCGTCAACAATGACTATGGGTTGTTTCGCTGATTGAGAATTAAAAATAATTTTTATTCACTCTCAAAACGTTTGTAAAAACCAGTGGGACTTTTAAGTACCTAGTATAAGACCAATATTGGTAAATACAGTATCAGGTATAAAAGAAAAAGGTGGTAAGGGTATATGGAGACAATGTCACACTAAGTTTCACACTGGGATCTGCTGGTTTCAAGTAGTACTTACTGATACGTCGTTGAAACGGGTTGGAAAATTTTTGTAAGTGTGGTCTAAGTTTTAGTGTGAAAATCAAATGGATACTTTTCAAAAATTACTAAGGTAAGACTAAAAAGTTTTAATTTTTTTATTGAAATATGTACCAAAAAATTTTAAATAAAAATCAAAATTTTTTTAATTAAAATTCTTTTATAACTTTTCTACAAAGTCTACCTTTTTTAACGATAATTTAAAAGAATGTTCACTTCCTGCTCAACTAATTGTAATGTCATTTTATCGGTGGCTATTTTTTGGTTTTGAAATATAGTTCTCGAAAAAACGTGTACAAACCAAAAAATTTTTCCCTCACCATTTTTTCTCAACTTTTCACTGAAATTTTAATTTTTTTTTTTTTTTTCTTTCAGAAAACAGACTGAAAGTATAACTCAATTGGAAAAAATGATAAGATGTTTACAGAAAGATATTGTATAAATAAAGAAGGAGTCCCCAATATCGAGGAAAATACCGTCACCACCGGATTTCCTTCCACTGAAGAGTTTCGAAGAGTGGAGAAATTTCGAGGACAATAAAGACCAAAAAAGAGACAAAGAAATGGTCAGTATTAAATTAGAAATAACTCGAAAAAAAGATCATTATTAACACTAATTTTATTGCAGTATAAATATTTTGCTAGCCTAGGAGGAAAGTCATTGAAAGAATTTATGTCATCCATGCTCAGCCAAACGTTTGTTCCAAACTTGGCAAAAGAATTAACATGGACGGGGCAGAGGAATAACAGCTCAAAAGATGTGACGAGAGCCTTAAAAGATAGTAAAATTGTACAAATATACCGAGGTAAAAACTATTAATGTTTAAAATAACCTAATTATATTTATTTTGTAATGTAACAAAAATTTAATTAAAATTTTGTATAAATATTTACAGTCGCAATAAAACGCAATAGGAAATTTGAAGGAGCAACAATAGATGAAATTAAAAAATGGATTTCAGCTGGATTAAAAACAACCAAGGAGAAGATACGAACATCAAATAAAGAAAAAGATAAAGTAATAGTTATAAGAAATCCGGAAATGGATATTGTAATAGATGAAACATAAAAAAAAAGTTTAATTGACGTGTTAATCAAATTATGCATTATTGTGATAGAAAAATAAAAATATGTTTTGAATATTGTAATAATAATAGGAATTCAATGTGAAAATATGTACGTACGTTTAGTTTTTTATTAAATAATAAAAAATATTTAATTAAAAAATTTTGATTTATTTTTTTTTATGTTCCTACTCCGATTAAAATTAGAATAAAAAAAACTCAAAATTTGAATTTTAAATTATAATAATTATTTAGAATATTAACATACCTAAATAGTAAGATAAATTTTAGCCAATCTGTTTCTTTATTTTGCGGGCAGTATGCTAGCATGAAATGTCTGCTTGATGACAGCGTATTTTGCCACGCAGATCATGCTTACACTTTGCTTGTAATATTCCGCCACCGTTGCACGAGCATGAAATGTAGGCACAACGGCAGCAGGCTATGCTGAACAAACTTATACCTGCATTTTGTTAGCAAATGCGGCCGCAGATGCCTACGGTATTGTCAGCATATCTTGCCTCTTTCAGGTCAGGTATGCTGACAACTTGCCAGCCTACTGCTGACTTTTGGCTATCTGGGATATGTTAAAATTACAATAAATCAAATTACTTTATTAATAAGTCACAAAAAAGACTCTTTATATCCCCATAAAACTATTTCTGTCTAAAATGTGATTTTTTTATAAATTAATTATCATTAAAATGATGAAATTCATATGTAATTAAAATGTTTTATGGGTATATTTTTCTATAAATATATTTATGTTTAAAATAAGACATACGTGCAGAAGACTTCCTCATAAGTAAAAATATCAACAGATAATTAAATATACATGTTAGTTTTCGATACATTTCTTTATTAGAAAATACTTATTTAATTTTTTATTTTTTTAGAAGAAAATTTTCAAATAATTTTGACAACGCGTTAGACAGCAAATGTGAACGTCGACTAATATGATCACAAAATTAGAAGAACATAAAAATGTAATACCTCGAGGTCAACTAGATTCCCACTCTGGAATCTCTCACTGGAGATTTCAAAGAGATATTTTAATTATTTTCTTTAAATTATTTCCATTACTGGTTTTATCATTATTATTATTCCATAAACTTTTAGGCAATATGTTTCAGAAAACAACATATACACACATGTAAGAGCGTTTGTTTTTGTGGGTTTTTCTATTTTTTTTATAATGATTGATGATAAATATACCCTTTATTCGCCTATATCAAAAGCTCATAATTCAAACCCAACGATCTTTTGTTACTTCATATTCAATTATAGTTGAAAAATATTGTTTTTAACTATCATTTTCCAATTATTAGTCGTACTTCATTCGATCAGAGAAGATTATTGACTTAAAATGATCAAAATAGAATTTCTTCTAAAAATATATTCTCAATTAACATATCCTAAGCAAAGATTAATTACAACAAACTTAAAAGATAAAAATACTGATATTTTTTTCTCGAGTGATAATTTTGATAAAGGGTAGAAGTACCGTTTATGGATACATACCGTTTTTGGACAATCGATGTCCAAATTACTGTATAAATAATTTATAAACGTAATAGGCGCATCATAAATTCTGTTTGTATGAATGTAAATATTTAAAAGCTCCATGAAAATATTATTTTAACATTCAAAATTTTCTTCTCAATCATTGAATTTAAAAATGTCCAAAACCGGTGGTTCTACCCTAGTATATATGACACGGTACTAGAGCAGAAAGTTAAAAATTCCCGCATAGCCCTTTTTATAGTTGAAATTTTTTTTATGCGCATGTCTTATATCCGCCATCTTTTTCGGGCAGTTTTTACGTCTGTGAACAGTGTTTATACTGTACGTATGTAAGTATGTGTGCCTATTAAGTTATCCGAAACTTTCGAATTGCCGCCTCAAAAACATGGCGTTTAACTTCCGTTAAAAGGCCTATTGCGCGGTAATATCGCGGTAATATATCACCTAGAATTCATTGATAAAATTCAACGGAATTTTTTTTATCAATCGTTTTTGCTCGGTAATGAAGTTAGCTGAGCAGAGAGATCGCGATACTGGTCATTTCTGTACAACATTTATCTTTATTATTTGTCGTCGGTAATGATGACAAAACCAAAAATAGGGGAAACCCCACATCAGAGTTATCTGTTCTACTATCGTGCCCCCTTAAGGTAAAACTATACCTAGTATTCTTTAGATTTCTCTAAAAAATAATAAACATATAGAAAAAGATTGAAGATTAAAAGAAAAAGAGATCTCGCTGAACATGTTTTACTAAAATAACAAAATTTACAACTTTTTTTAAAAGTTTATCTTCGCCGATCAACAATAATGTTTTTATTCGGGTCCACACTCGTTTAATTTTATTTTTTCTACTGGTTACACTTAAATATTATTGTGTAAGTTTAACAAAAAGATCCATTTTTACAAGTATATATAGATATATAGATATACAGAACTTAATAATTGAATCAGTTATATTGTCTTAATAATTTTTATCTGGAGGTCGTTTTTTGTACTAAACAAAATTAGTGGTTATGTTTATTTTTGTTTAAATCACCAAATACTAAACAATATTTTGTTTACAAAAATGACTAACAATTAACCATAACTTTTGATCATCCACTTATTTGTTGTTTCTACTATTCAACAATATTTTAATGTGCTATCTTATTGTAATTATAAATTAATTTTTTTATTTAATGAAAATGAAAATGTTTGCATTTAATTAACAAATTTCTTTTATTATATATTGATGGATGATTGATGAAGTTCTCAAGAAAAAAATTTTTATAAAAATAATATTTAACATGTAATTATTATTGGATTTTCTTAGAACCATGACGGAAGGAAGTTCAAGAACAAAGCGTATGGGAACGAGATTTTTTAAAAATCCTCCTCAACCTCATATGTGCATACAAGATTTTTTAAGAGTAACTACTTTTTATTAATGTTGATTCTTTTTTAGTTGATTTTATTCCAAGTCAGCACTTACATCTAATTTTTTTATTTTTTTTTTATGTCTAGGGGTCCGTGCATCCGTGCTATATAAATGTTTTATCATGGGATAAGATAGCTATGGCAAGTTGTCCTTTTGAACGTTTGCCACTCTATGGCGGTATGAAAATAAATCCACCAAGGACAGAAAAGCCAGAGGTTAATGTTTTTTTTGTGATGGCTAATCCAGAAGTTTTACGAAAAAAAGGCAAATATGCTCATGATTTAAAGGTAATTTTTTTATGTTTATTACTTTAAATTTCTTCTAATATATCTTTTTTAATATATAAACTTGATAAATTTATTTTAGGAGCAATCTATTTTGATAGAACTGCTACTTAATTTTATCGAGGCTATGAATAATGGAGTAGAATTTATGAGACAATACAAAATTCTAAATGATCGTGATATAACTGGTGAATTAAAAGAAATATGGATGGTTGTACAAAGTGATAAAGCGCGAGCACAAAGTGATCCAGCTAGTGAAGAAGTTAAAAGACCAGTTCCGCAATATCCACTGTATTCTGAGCAAGAACAGCAACAACAGCAAAAGAAACAACATCAGCAGCAACAATATCGACCTCCACCACCACAAACTCAGCAGCTTCAGCATCAAATTCAGCAGATACATCAGACACATAGTGAAGATTCTCATCAGCAAATTCAACCTCAACCGCCTCAATACCACTCAAACTACTCAATGCAAAATCGTGGACATGTAAAAACATCTGAAAATTATGATTTAGCTTACGTTCGTCAACCTCAAAATCTACCAATACCGCAGAATGATCATATTTATCAACCTTGGTCTACGTCATTGCAATATGCTAATCGAGTTAGAAGAATGGAACAGAAAATCAGTTCACGAGAAGCTAGAGAGTTTTTAGCTTCTAATGTCTCAGTTAATTCTTCACCTCAACAACAACATTCTATGTCATATCCAGCGTCTCAGTATCAGTATCAACTTCCACGACAAATAGGACCAGCGTATAATGGACCCAAAGTTCACCCTAATGCAAGTGATCTTACCTGCTCTACGATAACTACGTCTGGTGGTATAAATCCGGGCATTAGTCCCGGCTCTCAAATGCACTATGATCACTATTATTTACCTATGCGTTTACCGGAAAAAAACGTGTGTGTCAAAGTTCATCGAGTGCAGCAGCCGCAGCAACCACAATTACAACTTGCAAATCCTATTCATATGGCTCCTGTTCCACCTTATGAACCAATCGATCCTTTTTATGACCCGCAAATGAATTCATCTTTTAATTGGAGAAGATCTATCACGTCTCAGAATCACACCACACTGCCGAAAAATAATAATAATAAACGACAATTTTCCCCTTCACATACCAGTAATAATGGCCCTAAAGAAAATTCCGAAAAAAGTAAAAGTCCAATTAAAGTACTACAACGAGATAATTCAAATAATTCTAGTTCAAACGTTGATTCTATTAATTCTGAAATATCTGTGGATAAATCTGATCAAGAATTTGACAATACAGCTAATAAAAAGAAAATTCAAGTTACAGATTTGGATGAGGATGAATTACAAATTACACCAACTTGTGATAACTCTGAAGAAATACAGAGTTTGGATGATATTCAAACTCAAAAAATAATACAAGAAAGTAGTTCTAAAAATCAAGTTAGAACAAAAATCTTGATACCAAAAAGAAATAAGATATCTAATGACAGTAAATCGATATTAAAAAATGGTAACTCGGTTACGAATGATATTGAAACTGAGCATCCAAGTAATATAGAAAATACAGTGATTGAAGAAAAAAATCAACAAATAAACATTTCTGAATCCGAGCGAAATGGTTTTAATAATGATAAACCAATAAAAAGTGATAGTAAAGTTTCTAAGGTAATAAATAATTGCAGTAGCGCATCGGTAATAAATGCTGGTACTTCTGAAGATAATAATGAACAATGCGAGTCTAAAGTTAATGGACAGGGTTACAATTTAAACAAAAGTGATGGACAGGTTTATCAAGTGTACACAATACTAAGAAAATCTGATGTCGCATCAACGCAGGATGGATTGACGAACGAAATAACTCAGATGGCGATTAAAGATTGCACGGAAACAAGTGAGATGGGTGCCGTGCCTTCGTGATAGTCCACGGTGGATGTAGTTATAAGTTATGTAATTAAGACAACTTTAAATGTAAATAGTTATATGGAGAATTCAGAATTTGATAAGCAACTAAAAACAAATTAGGTTGATCAATTTAAAAGACAATGTAAGCATAAAATGTAGATAACTTTACTCGAATGTTCTTCCATATGAATTAAGGTAATGACGATTAATTTACAACTCAGAGTAAAGTAAAAAAATTTTTCGATCGTAAAGCACTCTCTGATGCTTTGCATCATGAGTCGTGCAAAATCATAACAAAAAGAAAGTTTGAACAGCATTGAATAATATAAGGATGTTAGGATGTCATGTATAGAGTTTTTATAACCTGAAGTACTAAAATTGTACAACTTGATAGCGTATAGGCTGTGAAAACTTAAAAATTTTGGTGCATGTTTCTCTTATTTGTACGTAAAAAGAGATCTTGTGGTAAAATAGTAAACAAACAAACTTATGATGAAAAGAAAGTTTCTAAAAATAAGCGTGTAAAATAAAAAAGTAGTCTAATTAAAAAAAAAAAAAATGAAACTAAAATAGACTTGTTTACAATTGAAAAATTTAATTATTTTAAAATTATTTTATCATCAGGTAACTTGTTTAATCTGAGTTAACGATAAGTATAATATTGAAGAAAGATCGTATTGTTAAGCAACTGATGAAATGGGTGCTTCGAAGAAATTTTTAGCATAGTACTTTATTGCTTTATAAATTATTCGAAAACATACTCCCACATAATCAGCGATAATGGTCACTGTTTTGAATAGAATGAATAGAATTTCATTAAAACTGCCTGTTTTTATATTGATTATGATAATAATAATTATTATTATCATAATAAAATAATAATAATAATAATAATACTATTAATAATAATGATTATAATAATAATAATAATAATAATAATAATAATAATAATAATAATAATAATACTAATTATTCAAAAAACAAAATTAAGCCGAGATCTTCCCGGATGTCCAATTAATCGTAATGACATCCTAAATTTTAATGTACGATTTTATTAAAAATTCTTTTCAGAGTAGGTTAATTTTTGAGATGGTACCATCATAGAATAGAATAGTCAGAAGAACATTTACTATCAGATATTCTAAATTTCGATGGACAAATACTCACACAGTTATCAAAGATATTCGATTACGATGATCTGACAACGTTCCATATCTCAATTTTTTATTGAAATAACTTTTTTAAATATTATTTTAATCATTTAGTTATTAAGGGAAAATATTATAACTTAATAATCATGTGAAAATAAATTATTAATTATACGAATATTGAAATTACTATTTATTTTTATTTATAATTCCTTTTATTTTTATATTTTTATGATAAAATTTTCTAAAAAAAATTTTTTTTAAACATAGGGTTATTAAAGAAATATGTCGAGTTAATAAAATCTCGAAATTATATAAAAAATAAAATACTAATTTTTAAACAGTGACTTAGGAATTGACATTTCTGAAATTTGAAAATTCTTCATTAAGGTTTTTATTGCGTTGTGGGGAGCTTCATATACCTGAAGCAAAGTAAGAGATCAAGTTACGATTTCTCGTATAAAATAAATATAAAAAATATGATCTTGGAGTTATTGAATGGTAATATAGTGCTTTACCGAAAGTAATACCAACACTAAGGTAAAAGACCCAGTTATTGACACTGGCCTAGTTATTGACACTTAAAAATTTATGTACATACACGCCAATCGGCATTACACATCTATTTTAACTAATATAATATTCTTTAAATTATGGCTTGGAAATTATAACTGCCCTAGACGTGGAATATACTATTTTTGTCATTTCTCTTAAAATCACTCAAAACACAAAGATCTGTAAAAAAAAAAAAAAATTCGAGCACCCTAAAGCTAAGGCGCCGTAAGTCAAGACATCCCTTTTAGCTTTTAGCTTTTAGAAAAGTAGAGTAGAAAGTAGAAAAGTAAAGTAGAAAAACGGGCACATAAAAAAAATTTTTATTTTTATAAAAAATTATGATAAATAGCTTTACAAGACAAGTTAGATCCAAAAAACAGTCTAGTACACAAAGCTCATTTATTAGAAAAAGGAGCAAAATGAAAGCAATTGTTTAGTTTCGCAGTTACTCAGTTTCTAGATATAAAATTCATATGAATAAAATTTTTTTTACCTACGACACAATTTTTTTCCTTCAAAATTGATTAAAAATGCAGCAATCAAAAAAATGGAAATATCAACTTCATTGAAGAAAAAAAAAACCGAAATCTACTGAATTTTTCTTTAATTATTGTCTTGGATTATAAGTACACTATAAATCAGAATAATTTTTTTTTAATTCAAAGTTTTTCATTCTTTTTAATTTTATGTTTAATAAAAAAATCCAGGTGAATAATATGAAATAAAAAAATTTAATAAATAAAAAAAAATTTCTTAAGTACTTAAGCCATAATGAAGAAATAATAATTTTAAATTATTTTTATACAAGCAATGGATACATAAATTAATCAAAAACTAATGGGATTAAAAGTAAATAATGAATAAAAAAAATGATAGTACTCAAATATTTTACAATTTTTTAAAAATATTTTTATTTTAATTTTAAAAGAGTATATGAAAGAGTAGCTTTAGAAAATCAATGTTTCATTTTTAGGCGAAGAATATGTCTACCAGTCGATTGGTGGTAAAAAAAAAATTATGCACCCTTTTTAGTCCACTGAAATTACTCTTATGCGTTGTTCGAACTAATTTTCGACTGAGATGTTTTTACACAGAAAAATCGAGAATTTTCCATAGAATTTAATAAAAAAAACGCGAAATCTCAATTCGATACGGAAGTTAATTAAAAAAATTAATAAAAAATTGAAAAATCGCGGAACGCTATATTTTTAACTTTTTTAATATATTTAATATTTTTTTTTCACAAAAAAATTAGTATCACTGGAAAGAGCGGAAATTTTTCAACCAAAAACGTCACAAACATCTTCTCCGCGGATAAAATTATCACCGAAAAAAAATAATTAAAAAAAAAAAATTAATTTCTTATTATTTTTGTCAGCTGTCCGGTAGGTAAGTGTAGAGTTGTAAACAAGCTGCGCGCGCATGAGCAGTCACAGTGGTAATCATCCACTGTAATTTAAAATGAAACATTTTATCGGACGAACAGTTTTGCATTCTAGGGTAAATGTTCCAGTAGTTGACCGGGCACCAGTAGTTGACCGCTTTCATAAAAAAAGTCCGAAAATTATTATTAACTGCATTTTTTATGACCCTGAAATTTATTTTTAACTATTGTTGAACTTATAATCATTACAATAAATAGGTATTCCAGATTTTATTTAATTTTTAGAACATCGAAAATAATTCATGAAAATTTTTCACCGCATAATCTGACTCAAATCGGTCAAATACTATAGTAGAGTATCCGAGAGGCGACTACATGTTTTAGTTAACAAAAAAGTTTCTATTAGGTTAATCTTGCCAAATTAAATTCTGAAGTAGTCTTTAATAGTTTCTTAACAAATCTCTCAATAAAATTTGACAAAAACAATCAAGTAAATACCAATTCAACGACCGGTCAGATACTGGCAGAATAAAACACCGTTGTACCATCAATAAATGATTTCGGTCATCTATTGGAACCTGCTTTTTTTCAAAACACCAGTAATTGACCGCATGCACAATTGTAAGTTTTTAACCTATATAAAATAAAAATATAAATATGTTTACGTGATAATATTATGTTTACATAAGTGTTGTTATTTAAAATAATTTATAATTATTAAATTATTAGTAATAAAGAAGTATTTATGCTTATTGTTTAATGTGTTTCAAATAAGATGATTGTTGAGTCAAGTTTAAATTTGTACACCGATAGAAGGATTTATTAGCTATTAATAATTTAATTTACTTAGGAGAAAAGAGTACATTTGTTAATAGTTAATAAGTATTTCTTTATATTTAACCAATATTTATTAACAGTTAATAAATATTTTGTTAAGTGAATTTGTGTTTTGCTTGCAATGTCATACACTTGTGTTATGAAAATTGCTTATAAACAAAAATCATCTTTACAAATTATTTACATTAATTACATTATTTTATAATAACGTTTACTGTAACATAACAAATTTTATCACAGCTCATAATTATCTTTTATATTTTAAAATATTAAGAACGTTAATTTATTTAGTGAATTGAATTATTATCATGCATTAGCTGTAAGGTTATAAAAAGTGTCAAAAGAAAATTGCTATTTTTGCTTTTCATTTTAAATAAATATTTGTTAAAAGTTAACAAATATTCATTAACAATTAATAAATCGTATTTTATAAATAATTTATAAACTGTTAAT